TCTTCCTGTGAAGGAGAAAACAAGGCTCCAAACTTGAATTCGTGTAAGATTCTGCCCAGTGTAAACCTGGTTTAATCCACAGCATATATCTGTAAAATCTTGGGTAACACATCACAATTTTGCAACGGAAGTTCAGCACTACAGAGTCATATCCCCTTGTTTATTTATATTCTCATACCAAGGGAAATCTGAAATCCTGATGTACTTAATAGTCCCCTGTGCACCACACAGAAGCATGAGAAACTACTAAGCTCCCTGAAATATAAAGTAATTTAACAAAACTGCTTGAATTCAAAAGAAAGCAACCATCAGAGGAGCCTGGTAGCACCCAGGGAGGGAGACCCGGTCCCTCAGAGGAACATAATGAGGCCCCATCTGAAGCTGCAGTGACCCTCACAGTGACTGCAGATGAGGGTCTTGTTCTTAGTTTTTAGTTGAGCAGAGAGATTTACAACCATGGTCCTCAATCTTTTGATGTGACATGGGCAAGCGTTTGACATTGGCTGCTTCCAACACTGCCACCTCCCCCACCCACACTCCTAATGTCATTTTAATGTTTTAACCTACACTGAAAAGTCCATTTAAAAAACACCTGCAAATTTTCAAGCTATCAGAATACCTTAATTGAGAAGCAAAGCAAATGTAGATGAACTTTACACAGAAGAGAAATTGATTTGAAAAGAGATTATAAATCTAGCCCGTGGGATGGGGACCTCAAGGTTGAAGGGAAGGGTGCGGGAAACTGAGGGTTAATCAGATGAGATGGTTTCCACCTATGACTAGCAAAGGCTTTTGACAGTGCATAAGTGATTTCCCAGTAATGCGGACAGTGTTCTCAGAGTCAATAATTTCCACCAGTGGCCGATAATGGTCATTTAAAAGCATTAGCTCACGTGAGCGATGTGCTTTGCAGTTCAGAGCAGAGCTTGACAGGAAATTGAAGCTCTTGCTGCCAGCCCTTGAATTTCAGGGTGAGGGGTGGGAAGAGGCGCTTTCAGCCTCAGGGATTCTAAGTGGCTACGCGCTCGGTTCCTAGGGGAGAAGTGAGCAGCTGGGCCTAGCAGTTCATTTTAGAGAGGGCAGCAGCAAAGGAGGGACCTGGGACGGTTCCCTGGAGGAAGGACACCCATGGCTGTTATCACCCTGTTTGTATAGCTACTGCAAAACCACCCAGCTGTACTTTCTGCTCATTCTGCCAAGGTGGCATTTGATTTTGTTTCATCTTTTCTTGTATTCATTTGGATTTGTTGGAAATGAAATTAATTACAGTGTTGATCCCAAACATCTAAAATCAAGGTCTTGCCACACTGCCTGGAAGTATGGTCTGAACTAGATAACAGTTTATAATGAATTTTTTTTTTTTTTTAGTTCTCAAGCAGTGCTTCTGAAATTTGAGATACATTTAAAAACAAACAAACAAAAAATTCTGGAGATCTCTTCTTAAAATTGCAATTTCTGACCAAGCATGGTTGTGCATAACTGTAATCCCAACTACTTGGAAGATGGAGGTAGGAGGATCATGGTTTGAAGCCAGCCTGGGCAAAAGTTATCGAGACCCTATCTGAGAAACAAGCCCAGTGTGGTAGCACTCACCTGTGGTCCCAGCTGCTGAGGAGATGAAGTAGTAGAATTAGGGCTCCAGGCTGACCCCAGGCAAAAGCATGAGACCCTATCTATAAAACAGATTAAAAACAAAAGGACTAAGGGCATGGTTTAAATGGTGGAGCACTTGCTTAGCAAGAACAAGGTCATGAGTTCAATCCCGAAGACCACCAAAAAATAAAAACAAACAAACAAAACAACTTCCGATCAGGGTGGTGTGAAGTGATACCTGAGCATTTTGCATTCCTAGAAAGCCCTAGGCTCTGCTGATGGTCAGGTCTGAGAATACACTTTGAGTAGCAAAACTCAAGAACTTCAGAGATCAGTCCTGTCACACATGGTAGGAAAGTAGCTACCACTTCAAGCCAGCACAGGCTATCCTGAGAGCGCTGGCAGCTTGGTCTGGAAAGGGTTCAGGCTGGGAACCTTCTTTGGGGAGGTGCAGAGTAACTTCACCACTCTTGCAGACACCCCTTGAGCCCTCGCACCAGTCCTCTTGAGCTGCGTGACCTGTCTGTGTGTCGTTCTCACAGAGAGTCCGCTATGATGAGCAGGTCAGCGGGGTGGGGGAGTGCAAAGGTAGTCCTCATTGCTGTTCTTTGCTTGGGAAATGTCCATTTTGAATTTTAAAGTTCCTGCCTACAAAAGAGGAGATATGAATGTATGTGTATATATAATAATGAATGTATATATATGTGTGCCTGTGTGTATAGCTAATGTATTATCAGTGTATCTGTTATTTCATGTATATGTCCATAATTAGTAATGAGAGTTAAGGTTTTTCCCCTCTCTCTTTTTTTTGGCTGTCCTGGGATTTGAACTCAAGGCCTCCTACTTGCTAGGCAAGAGCTCTACTACTTGAGCCACACCTCCAGCCCTTTTTCCTTTAGTTTTTTATTTTTCAGGTCTCACTCTTTTGTCTGCGCTGGCCTTAGACTGTGATCATCCTACCTCTGCCTCCTGCATAGCAGGAATTACTGGTGTGCACCATCATGCCTGGATTGTTTTTTGAGATAGGGTCTTGCTAACTTTCTTTTTTAGCCTGGGCTAGCCTTGACCTGCATTTCTCCTATTCCCCACCTTCCATGTAGCTGGGATTACAGACATGTTCCACCAGGCCTGATCTAGGTTTTCTCATTTTAACTAGATACTTAAGCCCAGTTAAAATTACGGTAAAAAGATGTTAGAACTTAGTCTTAGAGTTTTGTGGATCATACTGAGCCTTGTAATCTCTAAATTTTTATGAGTCCATTCATGCTAGTTGTTGATTATAGGTTGCTAAGTGGCTGAGGATGCTAAACCACGCAAGAGACTGAACCTGGTATAGTGGCTAAACTTAAGCAGCATGACGTGGGTAGAAACCAGTTCATCCATGGTAGCATTGCTACTACTGCAGAAAACAGCCACTTTTCATATCCCCAGAGCTTTTTAGACCCTCACCTATAAGATCTACAGGGTCCTTGGGCTTCTGTCATAGAGCTTTCCTGAGAAGCTGTCCTGGGGGTTGGGTGACAGGCAGTTGCAGCATTCTGAGGTCAGGGGAGCCTCCCTGGACGCAGGGCAGACCCATTTTTACTCTTGATACATAGGCAAGGCCCACTGAAGATCCCAGCTCACAAGCACTAATGCAAGCCATTAGCATTTCTCACTGTGGACAGCTTCTAGAGGAAACACTGTGAACAACACATTCCACATATTCACTCAACAGCTCTTCACTGTCCACTTACCATGGGCAAGGCAGTGTTCTCGATGCTGTGGGGTAAATAAAATGAATAAACACAAATCTTGACCCCTTAGCAAACAGCCTGAAACTATATAATGGCTGTTAGAAAGAAGCCACTGTGGCACTAACAGCCCTGTGGTAAAGTAGAAAGAAAAATCCAGCCTCCAGCATGCCAGGTCATGAGTGCAGAACTTTCATTTCTTGAGGCATTGTCAGTGAGGCACACATGGCATTTGTGGGGGGTTCCAGATGTGCAGTGGAGGAACCATTTTACTGACATTGTTATATAGGAACACTGCCTGATTTCTCTGCGTTGCACCCTAATTTTTAAAAAACTACGCTTGCTGATTTTATTGTGCATAATTGTTTCTCACGGGGGCAGTCTAGCGCATCCATTTGCAGAGTGGGCCACAGAGGCAGAAGACTCAGGTTCAGATTGGGACCAGATCATTGCCTGGCTGCCATGCCTTGGCCAAGTTACTTACCTCTTGCTCAGCTATATAAAATGCAACTAAAAAGATACTATTATAAAATAATAGTTTTTCAGGGAAACTGTCAATCCTCTCCAGGATCGAAGACATGTAGGAAGGACATATAAAGTGCCTGACGCATAGCAGCCCCTCAGGAAAGGGTGGCTGTTATGCGTTGTCATGGTTTTATGTTATGTAAGAGGGCACGTACTTCTTCATTTTAGCTAATGGCACACGGAGTGACACTAGGGATACTCCTGCCTGCAGACGGGGGACCCCCATGTACAGTGAGGGTCCTGGGGTCTAAAAGAGCAAGACAGGGAAATCTCAGCAAGGGAGAAGCCCTGCCAAACTGGGGGTGTGTCTCAAGAGATGAGCTTATCACTGTGATGCCTGACAACTGTGTGATTGGAGCTGAGCTGGGGGTGGGGTGAGGATAGAATGGGGGGATTTAGATTTGGATCAGGGATGGCAAAGGAAAACATTTGCTGAATAGATCTAGGGCCACCACAAACTATGCGGAGACACATTTATACCACAAGTCCTCCACAAATTGATTTATTTAAAAAAATTATGAAGGGAAATAAGTGGACTTCTGAAGGTGGGCATGCCAGCAGAAGTTCAGGTGCTTCAGTGGTTTTTCCTGCAAACTTTTTCTTTTTGAAATAATAATGGGTATTTTTTTAGTTTTTGGCAGTAGTAATTTGATAATGATGTGCGTGTGTATGCAATTCTGTTTGTCTGCTTCTTATACCAAAACATCCTCCAGCTCTGGGCCTTTTCCCTCACTGTATGTAAAGCTGTAAACAAAACCAGAAGCCATGGGAAAATGGTGAAGAGAGCAACAGAAAAGAATGTTCGCTTTTGTGAAAAAGCCCGCCACTGGCTGAATTTAAAGAAAAGTTGATGGATCTTTTTCTCTTGCCTATATTAATAGAACAAAGCACTGCTCCTGGGGCAGAGGGGTCCTTCCCTGGGTTGAAAATCAGTTTCAGTCCCTTGCTGGGGCTCCTACCAGAAGACGAAACTTTCACATCTGATTTTAAGAAGTGATCGGTTATGGGAAGGGGGAGGCAAGCATTTGTCTTCTAGGTCAGCCTATAAATGATACTGTTTTCATTTTGTCATGGGACACCAGCTTTCAGCTCTCTAGTGACGTCTGTGAAGCTGAAGTTTTTGCTTCTATTTTTATCCTGTATAACCTACCCGGTTCAGAATAAGATCACTCCTTTCCCTTACAGACCCCCAGTCCACACTCAGTCCTTTTAACTATGGAGTTGAGTCAGCTGGTTGAAGCTTAGTGCCTCTCTTCCTTTATTGGGAACAGGAAAGGTGCTGTGAGAGGAATCTGGGTGGGATCGTTCAGGAGAAGGTGACAGCAGATGGTGGGAAGGCTGAGTGAGACTCAGAGCAGGCAGCTGCCCAGTGCCCAGAGAGAAACAAACCAGGGAGACCGGGTGGGGCAGTGTCTCTGGGACAGGGAGGGCAAGGCCACCACAGCCGGACACAGACGCTTAGCTGGCTCTCTGTGTCAGCAGAAGCATTAGCCAGGGTGCTGGGCAACTGGCACTTGAGCCCGTTAGGATTCATGGGAGGTTATTTCTTAAGTGAAATTCTGAAGAGTTCAAGGATGAATTTGGACAGCGATGGAATGGATGACATCAGCAGCCAAGAATCCCCATTGGGTATGGAGGGGAATTATAAAAAGGTAAGGGGGAGAACTCTTTTGTTTATAAACAATTGAGCCATTTTTCTCACTGGGAGAAAGATCGCCCTTGAGGAATGGTCAAATTCCACACCTCATGAGTAGCCTTGCCAAAATATAGTCAGGAAAACTAAGTGTACAGAATCAAATGTGTTAAGCTAGTAGGGTTCTTTCTGCTTTTTCCAGCTTATGCTCATATTAATATGTTATAGTAGTAACTAAAAATACATGTTATTGTCCCAAAGTTGAAAATTTCAATTCTGCATTTCATTGTAATGGGATCATCTTTAAATTACTGACATATATTGACAGTTTATCTGAGGCAGTTACTAGAATGTTAACCTAACTTTCTATGTTTGACACTTTTAACAGTTGAAAAGTACAAAGTTTTACAAAGAAGTTTGAGTTTTTAAAAAATTGGTATAATATCTCCTAATTCTCTGCTTGCCTTTTCTTTTGACAGTCAGTAAATATATTTTGGGGATGTTTTATGTGTACTTGTCTAGTAGTAACAGACCCAACTAAAAATAGCGTTAGTTATATGGGTGAGGTCATGAGATCAAGCTACAAGTATATGCTTCTCTGTCCACAGAAGGCTAAACACACACCGTCCTTCCCCTCTTATTATCGGCCAGAAGTCAAGGGTGGTTCATAACAGCCTAACATGAAGAATAAGGGCTCGTCCATGGTGGACCTGGAAATGAATTTTCCCTCAGAGGCAACTGTCAGTTAATGCAGCCTGATAGAACAGTAAAATTCACTGCTAAATTTTTAATTTAATCAAATATGTCATTAGCTTTTTTCCCAGACTGAGCTATGGAAAGAAGGTTCTATTCTTACCTTAAATATAGAAATGTAAAATTTGGTCGTGTATATCTCATATGCATGATACATGGTTGAGCGGATCTCAAGTACGTACGTTATTTATTAGGGCAATTCACAATAAATTATGTTCTTTCTCCAGAAGATGAAATATAAACATGTAAGAGAGGTCAGGGGCCTGCCATATTGCCCTGTACATTTTCATCCTCTGTGATCTCCAAGAAGGCAGTGAGTGCCCATGGTGATAAGCTTGCAGAGTCCTGAAACCTTAACACTCCTCAGATGTCCAACCCCCTTGCTGGCAGTGGGTTTGAAAAAGACATTTGGGACACTGTGCCACCAGTCAGATCACTTGTCCAGTCCTGCAAAGCAAGTGCACAGTTCTCGTATTTCCTCTGTTTTGAGTGCCAAAGACCTGATTTTCTCTGTCAACCCATTTTTCAGATTGGAAGGTACAGATCAGTTCACACTGAGCAAAAATGGAAGACATGCCATTGCTAATGCATTAACAATGAAGTCTGGTTGCTGTGGCTTTATGCTACTTAGAAATGGGGAGAAAACCCAGATGCCTGGAATAGGTGAGGTTTGATAAGCCAGCAACCTGACACACTGCCTGGAAAGCTAAGGCTCAGGGAATTTCAAAACATACACAAGAACACAACAGGCGTGCATGGTGTAACCTGTTATCTAACAGGGTTGATAGAAACAGTACCTGACAGGTTAGTACAAAGAACCACCAGGTGAAACTTCTAGAATGCTCAGATAGTGGTATGCAAACATGAAAGTCATACTCTTGTTCCTTCAGTTTTCCAGCTGCCTTTCTTAGGCAAGTGTTTTCGTATTTCTGGTTACTATGAAGGCTTCATTATGCTTGGAAAAAAAACACAAGCTGTAATTTCATTAAGAGCTTCTAGTGAAACAGGGCGTCACAGCTTTTTTTTTTTTTTTTTTTTGCATATAAACCTTACAAAAACAGTTACCTCATATAAAAATCACTTTACCTAATTAGAATCTTCCTTTTCTAAGTTTTTTTCCTCTAATGTTTTTACCCTTTGGTTGGCTAAGTAGAAAATTAAATTAGATGCCATAAAAAAACCGCCCTGTGGGCTTTTTGATCTTGCATTCATCAGTAAAATGTATTTGAGCCCATGTCTCTAATGTACATATATTTTATTCAAAAATTATACTCATTCACTATTGTAAAAATATATGTCTAAAACGTATACACAAATAGATATTTTAAACAACAAAATGTTTATAGATAAAGACAAAAATTCTTACTATTTCTTCATTCACTTCCTGTGTATTCTTACCTGACTTGGAGGTCAGTAGTCAAGAACAATTGGAAAATTGGTATACCCAGGTGCGATACAACTCCCAGGACCAGCTGTCCTAATAAAAACCACATGCGTATAGGGATTGTTTTGCAGGGTTGTTTTAAAGTCAGACAAACAGCCTTCAGGGGGAAAGGTCACTCTACAAAGGCTAAAATTAGATTCCACCAAGGCAGAGGAAGGAAAAGATTATGCATCTGTTCCTTTTCCTTGGGGGGTGGCTCTGCTTGTAAGAAAGATGTTTCAATAAAGACCTCTAGTTTATTCAATAATAATAGTGAAACTGTACTCAACAGAAACCGATCGCAGTAGTTAGGAAGGAAGGTGGAGTTCATGACAACATCTGGGGAGGGTGGGCATTGGGCTTATTGCTTACTGGTTCTGCTGTGAGCAACTTCTATTCCCTGGTAAAGAGCCACATGGCTGGTCAGCTTCAGGACCAAGGTGGCCTTTGGCATAGGAGCCAATGTCTTCATTCATTCCGTTATTCACCAAGAGCCTCCTTGTTCCTGGCATTGTGTGCTAGGCCAGGAACACAGGAGAGAGACTGGGCCTTCTCTCTGGAAGCTTACAGACCAGGTAGGAGGCGAAGATGCAAAATCCACTGTGTGGAAGTGGTGCTGCCTGCAAGAGTGTCTGGATAGCCAGTGTGGATTTCCAAAATTTATACCCTAAGTTGTCCCAAGGCAGGGGACTCCCCTATTCCAGATAACGCTGATGGAGAGAGAGAAAAGGAAATCAGCAACACTTAATGTAGCATGAGGCATAAGACTGGCTCCAACTCCTGTTCCCAGGCTACCATGTGCAGAGTAAGGGAGCCATCCACGTGCACTAGGAGGTGCATGGTGCCGGGACCAGACAAACCTGCTTGCCTGGCTTTGTTCTGCAGAGGTGCTGTTTCTGGTGTCTAGAGTGCATCCAATTACAGTGAAAGATTAGGGAGGACCCCATGAAAAAATTAAAAGGCTGGAAGGAACAATATTTAAAGTGAAGCCACAGCTGCGCCTCATGTTTTTTTAAAAGGTAAATGGAAATGACTGCTGGAGATAGACTGCAATAAACAGGAGCACAGAATGCCAGCTGCCATTCCAGTCAAGTGTGCTGCCCTCCCCACACAATTACCAAGGAAAAGCACCGTCGACCTCCATTAACCTTCACGTCCTGTCTGTGAGGATGAATACGCTTGAAGAACAATGTTAAGTCACCAGAGCCTGGAGCCTTGGCCCACCTCTGCCACCTGGGGATCATCTCTTCCACATGCCAGGCCAGGATCTTTTCTTCAAAGGGAGGGGTTGGCTGGTCCTCTTAGCTATACGTATAGGAAACCTCTGGGCTCGTGGTTCAGGGATCTTTCCATCTTATTGCCACACTTTGCCACACCTCAGTTGGCCACCATTAGCATGGTCGGGGATGGTGTTTTCAGGTAACTAGGTTTCCCGGTTAAATACCAAGTAGGCGGTGAAATTTATTCTTTTCCTCCAGTCACACCTACACATGTACACACACACACACACACACACACACCCCTTTCCATGTCATGGGCACCCTCCTCAGCTTCTCCACTGAGCCCACTTTGCCTTCTCATTAGTTTTCTTAGGCTTTCAGCTCTCATTTTTGTGTATGTGGTTGACTTTTAAAAACTGAGCTATAATTCTGATACATGAGTCATCATTTTCAAGTATACCCATTAGCCAGCCATGGTGATACATGTCAGTAATCCCAGCACTTGGGAGACTGAGGCAGGAGGATCCTAAGTTCAAGACCAGCATGGGCTACATAGCAAGACCCCATCTCAAAAAAAAAAAAAACAACAAAGAAGGAGGGGAAGAAGAGAAAGGAGGAGGAGGAGGGGGAAGGGAAGAAGGAGGAGGAAGAAGAAGAGGAAGAAGAAGAAGAAGAAGGACGAGAAGGAGGAAGAAGGAGAGGAGGAGGAAGACGAAAAAGGAGGAGGAGGAGGAGGAAGAAGAGGAAGAAGAAGGATGATGAGGAGGAAGACGAGGAGGAGAAGGAAGAAGAAGAAGAAAGAATAAGAAGAAGAATGAGGAGGAGGAGGAGGAGGAAGAAGAGGAAGAGGAGGAAGAAGAAGTAGAGGAGGAGGAGAAGGAAGAAGAAGAAGGATGAGGAGGAAGAAGAGGAGGAGGAGAAGGAAGAAGAAAGAGTAAGAAGAAGAATGAGGAGGAGGAGGAGGAAGAGAAGGAAGAATAGGAGGAAGAAGAAGAAGAGGAGGAGGAGAAGGACGAAGAAGAAGAAGAATGAAGAGTGAAGAAGAAGAAGAAGAAAGAAGAAAGGAAGCCCATCTTCTGGTGGTGTTTAGTGTATTCACAAGCTTATGCAAACTACCATCTAATTCCAGAACATTTCATCACCTCAAAAAAAACCTCTGTACCCACTGTCAGTCACTCCACATCCTCCCTTCTGTTAGCCTCCAACAACCATCAATTTACTTTCTGTTTTTATGGTTTTCCTGTTCCAGGTATTTCTGGTTCTTTTCTCTCTCTCTCTCTCTCTCTCTCTCTCTCTCTCTCTCTCTCTCTCTCTCCTCTCTTTCACTCTTCACATTACCTGCCTTATCTACTCCTTGCTTTTAATGTTATACCAGCTGCCATTCAGTAAGTCCTCTCTGTGTACTAGATACTTTCCAAGCACTTTCTATATAATATTTTATTCAATCACTAAAGCAACCTAAAAGATAGATATTATTATCCCATCTCCCCCAAGAAGAAACTAGGGCTCAAAGAGTTTCAGTAATTTGCCCTAGTGTCAGAGTCAAGACATCACCTAGGGTCTTCTCAATCCTGAGTCCCTGCCCCCAGCTCCCACACTACCCTGCCTGTTTTCTGGTCACAC